AGAGCAGTTGGGATCTATCGAAAGCCATACTCCTCTGATAAGCAAAAAATAGCCACAAGCGCGTCGGATGTCAATATAGAACCCTAAGCAGCTGATAGAGGCGGATTTGCTTGCGACGAGGTTGCCGCAGCAGCTAACATCAAATGGATGAATGCAAGGATAAGCCAAAGCAAGAGATATCACTAATCTGAGTACTCGATCTTTGAGTCTGATACCTCATATGACGACGACAACAATTACAACATTCCATTCTTGTTCAATGCAGAGAAACTTTAAATGTGATCTTCCGGATCAGTTTCGGTCTGCGACAAGAAACAAAGGAGAATGAGACCTAACCGAAGTTTGACAGTTTTCTTGTTTGCATGGAACTACAAACGACTTCACTTTTTTAGCACAGACTAAAGAATAAAATAAACGAAAAAAGAACAAAATCTATAATTAACAAAAAAACTATTCGCATGATTGTAAAAACAGAATTACTTGACACTGAACACAGTCTACTGTTGCCGCCTGATCGCTTTGTAGACGTGAAAGTAACTTGCGGAGGTGAGTATAATGGATCTTCGTGAAAGTTTCTGCATGACATAAATACCAATATAATTGGAACTATGAGATGGGCATGGTGTTAGACTATCACGGAACGAGTGGTTACGGTTGTTAAGTATAATGCCTCTTATCTGAATCCCGCAATATCAAAACAACAGACAAACCTAAGTGATCTTCCTCTGGCTTATAATCCCATACCAATAGCCTAGGAAAATAATATTTGATTCATGATTATGGTGAAAAGGGAAATAACCTATGCAAATATTAAATCTGTTGTGGCCTTTTTAATGGCATGCAAATTCCAGAGTGTTTTGCACAGATGATGCCTCCCAACATAGGTAAACTAATTAATGAATGTGGCCATTCCTGATGCTCTACCGATAAGATGATGCTCAATCATTCTGAACAGATCGGAGTTGCTCAGTCGGTGGAGCATAGAACTTAGAAAATTGAGAGGTGCCAAGTTCAAATTCTGGTAGCGGTCACTTGCCTTTCTTACATTCGAGGCTGATGAGTAACACTCTGTAAGAAAGTAGCAGCAGACTATACAGATATTCACGAAGCTGTTGTCGATCCTGCCTTTAGAATAAGACACTCGTGGCTGACAACATGGAAAAAATGATCTGCACCCCACTACTAACTTCATGTAAAGAAGAGGGTCAGAAATGGCCTGATGGTGAAACGTTAAGGAAGAACCACATTCCAACAGTTACAAACTTTCCTTTTTACTAAGAATAATATACAGATTAACACATACATATGTAAAACCAAAAAATAACTTGTACCTCATAACTGGAAGAAGAAATCCGTTATCATCCTGAGCGAAACTGGCTGTTGTACATGCACGAATTATTTTAAAGGGTCGAACGGCTCAGAAAACTTCGAGAATACTTTTGTTCACGTTGATATTTTTGACGAACTTTGCGCCAACGGCGGGTGAACTCAAGGTGCAACGGGGGATCTTCGGTGTCATTTTGCATTTTATCCATAATGCTAAAAAAATGTCCACCAGACAATATCACCTCATTACACTCAAAGAGGCGGAAAGTTAAAGAACTTGCGGAATCCTATCAGAGTTGAGATTTGAGTTTTATCTGAGTCCGGTCGGCAATGTACAGGTAGAAGTGGTAGAACAAAAATTGGCTGAACATTGTGCGTGATTGGCTGAACAGTGGAGGACATTGTGCATGATTTAAGTGACCCAAGGGGTAGTCATGGTGAGAGCCGTAACAACAGTAACACCCTAAAGCTCGAGAACATCTTAACTGTCGCGTCGTTCACACGGGCATATACCGTATTGCCGAAGCGCAAATTTGCAATCTGGACCACGAATTGGTCCATGCTACGTCGAAGGCCATTTTTGAATTAACTATTTTGCAGTAAAGCTTCCAGAGTATTCCACGGACAGGGTAAAAATGAAAGTGCCTCTAGTTTACATCAAAAATCTTATAGAAATG